ATTGCTCTTACTATTTGGTAGTTATCTGCATACAATCAAATGCCTGCCACTTTGGCCAAGTGGAGGATAAGGAAGAAAAAGAATTGAGTGAAGGTCCAATTCTCTACTACTTCACAACCATGGCAATCCCAGGGCCACACACTCTTATCTATAAATTTGGTTGCATATACTAAAGTCTTCTTCGGATGTATGCCCCAAGTACTTGCCAGAATTGAAATATTTTTCACTCGACTTCCAACTGCCTGATTCGTTATAGTATGCAGTGCCTTGTNTTAAACTAATAAATTAAGTCAAAGAAGAATTGCTCTTACTATTTGGTAGTTATCTGTATACAATCAAATGCCTACCACTTTGGCCAAGTGGAGGATAAGGAAGAAAAAGAATTGAGTGAAGGTCCAATTCTCTACTACTTCACAACCATGGCAAGCCCAGGGCCACACACTCTTATCTGTNTGAAGGTCCAATTCTCTACTACTTCACAACCATGGCAATCCCAGGGCCACACACTCTTATCTATAAATTTGGTTGCATATACTAAAGTCTTCTTCGGATGTATGCCCCAAGTACTTGCCAGAATTGAAATATTATTCACTCGACTTCCAACTGCCTGATTCGTTATAGTATGCAGTGCCTTGTGGATTTTGGCTAATACCTGTATGAAGAGTATCTTAAAGGATTTTCAAAATAAAATTTTTTTGTGGGTGGGTGTTTTGTTAAAAACTCGTGTTTTGAGAAGGTGACAGGATGTTTTTGATANGTGGATTTTGGCTAATACCTGTATGAAGAGTATCTTAAAGGATTTTCAAAATAAAAATTTTTTGTGGGTGGATGTTTTGTTAAAAACTCGTGTTTTGAGAAGGTGAAAGGATGTTTTTGACACTAATCCCACATTAGAAGAATGAAAAAAGATTTGTAGGTATGTAAAGGATAGTGGAGTGAGTGCGAGTACATTTACTTTAGTACAAAGGCTCCATTATGCACCATGGGTGAACCCATGCATGTAGGACATGGGCGATGAGGCGCTTTGATGGCGCACTTTGCATGTGGGCACGATGGCGCAGGTATGCGAGTACGAATCAAGTCGATCAAGTGAGCAAGTGTCAATGGATGCGTTGATCGAGGGCGTTCAAATTAACAGAAATTTGAATCAAGCACCCATTGACCAACAGGCACCGGTGGGTGGTGGCTCTATGAATATAGAGCCAGCCCAGAAATCAAACTAGCTCAAAATTTCAGATTTATCTCTCTCTACACAACATTTTATTAATTTCTAATTTACTACAGAATTAGAATTCCTATTTGTCTATTTCATTGTATCTTAGAAACATATTTGTTGATTTCCTATTTGTACACCTTAGTTAATCTGATGGTGGCAAATACAGATTTTACTTGAAGTTTAGACAGTCCAGTTTCGTTCAACATCAACCATACAAGAAGAAGAAGAAGCTGCTCTAGATTTATCAACAAATTATTGGCAACATCAGACTCCCCTGATCTAGTCTCATCTGGAGGAGAGCTTGTACTCCGCCGAAAAGACTCAAGACCATTTCGAATTGTAGATACTTTAATATGATATTAGAACTAGATTTTATGTAGTCAATTGATCAAATCTCTCACCCATTTTACCTTTCAATACAGAGTGAATGCATCAAATGAATGAGTTAAAACAAACCCGCCTGCCAAAGTTTACAAGATACGAATTCTACACGACACGGATCTAATTATATATGATTAGAATAAGTCCTATTTATTAATACAATTTAGATACGTCATAAATCCAATACGATGCGATTTATTGTTAAATCTAACCATATCTTATTTTTGTTAGTATATTGATCAACTGATAAGGTAAAGTAAATTAATAAAACAATAATATGAAACTCCCCCTATTCTCAATTCTATATTATTGACCAAAAAAATATATAATGCTTTTACATCGAAGATCAAAGTGCAGGTAGAAAAGGAGTAATACATTTATATACACGTTAGGTATGTTATGTTTAGATTTTTTTTATTGAGAATCCATCACTTTACACGTTATTTGTAGTAACTTGTAAAAAAGTCTTCTTTGAAAATATATTATAATTTCATGTGTTATATCTTATATAGACTCAGGAGAGAGAGTAATTAGGTTATATATATGGTATGATCACCCTTAATTGTCAAGTAATTTTTTTTGGATTCAAAAGAATAAAATTGTAAGAGCGTACACACATTCAAAACGGGCAATATCTTGACAATTGAGACGGAT